TTAACCATCCCCAAACACACTCGCGTGATAACCTCTATGTAATATGCAGTGCAAATCTTAATCAGAAAGTCCCGTACCTCTGGTTCCTTAATATAATGATTTTGAAATATTTGCTTTGACTGTAAGCCATCACATGTTGTTCATACGTGCAAACTTAAACTTAGTTTATAGTTTTGATCCGTCCCGGTCTTATTTCATTTATGTTATGTAGGTTAGATCCAGTTAAAAGTCTGCAATACCTTTTACCTTTTTTTGCAGAGTGCCGGGAGTGTTCAACACTATCTGAGAAAAAGAGCAAAATCATCTCATCGGAAAGCAATTTCTTGTTTTTAGACGCTCGATCAGATCTTATAAACCTTCCAAACAAAACTTTGTCAAGGGAAGAAAAGGCTTCCAGAAAGCAGGATCGGGACGAATTAGTTAGGAAACTCAAGAAGTATATATCAGCATTAAGAAATTCAACAGGAGGTGTCATCATTTTGCATATTAACTACCTTGCCTGTGAAGATAAATACCTGGACCATTTTCATGAACTTGTTGATGATAAATTCAAAGAAATTATTGAAGATGGAAGTCTATTTGTCGAAGTGTACAGGAAGAATTGGTTATCCTGTATAGCTGACAATGCCGAGGACACCGAAGAAGCCATAGATTACCAATTGTATAGAAATTTTGTTGGTGTGACAGTAACAGCTTCATCCACAGTTGTAACAGTTGACTTCAAAACGAAAGTCCCACTTGACAACAGAGTTAAAGATCCAGTGGCTACGGAAGTAGTACGGTTCTTTAAAAAAAAGGCATTATTCCAAGATATTACAGCTAAAATACGTACATTTACTCATTTACAAGAGAGTCGGTGTGTTCAGTTCAAGTCATTCTCACTTGGACATGATGCAGATCAACCAGGGGCCATTGAGAACATTCTCAACAACCCAGAAAGACTGGCAAATTATGTTTGGGATAAGCTACGACTGAAATTTTATATCTGTGCCTTTACCAAGGTTGATGGTGGAGGGTCATATTATGTTGGAATCTCTGAAAAGGATGTAGACTATGGTTCCTATAAATCACAAACATATAAAGTGGATGGAATCAATGTCCCTCAAGCTTATCATTCATCTGTAGCAACACGAATAAGAGATAAAATTAGGACTGAGACACTTGTGCTACACTTTGACGAAGAGCTTGAACCCAGCCCGCTGCCACCAGAACTTGTGAAGATTGAGTTTCACCCAACTGAAAATAATTACTTTGTCATAGAAATTGCAGTGCCAGCCGTCAATGGCCTGGTGTGTTATGACAAATATGGACCAGAGGCATATGAACTAGAACAAGGGGCATCTGGATCACCAATACGACTTACAGTAAACCAGTGGCGTACCCGGTTCTTAAATGTGTAATTACTAACCGAGTCACCTCTATCCTTTTCTATACTGTTAAAAGCGGCGTTAAACCCAACTCACTCACTCACTATCGTTTTCTATCCTCACAATCACACAATAGGAACATGCCATATTGTGTGAATATGCAACCATAAGGTATTATTGTAAATACTAAATTATGTTGTTGTCGAATGCAAAAGTGGGAAAATGTAGAATCAACAATAAACAAATCATATTCTATTTACTCAAACACATTTAACATATATAATATGTTTATTGTTACAGAAGGCAGCCATGGCTTCTTCCAAATCAAGACAGAGAGAGCTAAAAGGTGTGTTTGTAATTATACATGTGTTATGCTTGAAATAGTTTAAATACATAATGCCTGATGCTTGAGTTCACAGACTTTTAAAAGGAAGATATACCATCAGCAAATGTACATGTATATTGATTCGAATATGAATAATATCGTTGGAAGAAAGTCACAAGAAGGTCCGGTTGTAGAAGGGTGCCACTTTGGTGAAACACACAAGTATTAGGGCTCTAAGAAACCAAGGATCATTATCTGGAATTAGAATCCACGAACATCGGATTCTGACACATCAAAGTAATAACTCTATACTTAGTTTGATATGGTCCATTTGACACATAATTAGAGTATATATGATGTTCTCACTTCATGCTCCTCACTCCAAAACAAGGACAGACTAGAACAAGAACCATGATGTTATATTCGTGAAGAATGTTGTTAATTTAGCCTCACGAATTTTAGACGACACTTTTTCAACTCTTGTTATTCAGTTTTACCAGCTGCACGAAGATAATCTCAGATATGAATAATCCAACACCTCTGTTTTTTTTAACGAATACAAATAGACATTTGAAACAGGCGCTACATGAAACGTACACTATTAAGAGCATTAAAAAAGAAACAAATGCTGTCGCTATTGGGTTAAAAAGCTTACAAACATCACGATGTGTCATTTGTTCAAAGGAACAGAGGTCTTGGATCATTCATATCTAATTTCCAAAATAAGATTATCTTCGTGCAGCTGGTAAAACTGAATAACAAGAATTGAAAATGTGTTATGGGTCGTCAAACATTCGTGAGGCTAAATTAATAACATTCAAACATTACAAATATGTAATTAAACTTTGAGTGATGTCTTTCAAGTGGAAATTCCGTTAGGTTCCTCATAATGTCAGCTATGGGCAAGGTTTTGTAAATCTGATAAGATGATGTAGACGGTAATGATATCAAACCGGAAGCGAATGGTGATGTGCTGTTTTTCCAAGTACCTTCGTACACCTTTTCTTGTTTCAAAAACCATAAGACAAGTGCCAAATTAGCGAGACTGGTATAAAAAGGCAGAGTGTGTGTTTCAGAACCTGTTCTAAAGGCACATGTGCAAGAAGTAAATATTGTGTCGTTCGACCATCATCATCCACGATTTTTGAAGATTGGAAACAGCATTGACTTGATAAAACAGCATGTATTTAATGCAGGTAAGTACCGTCTGCACCGTCAATTCGGTTTTAGTTCACCTTGCTTGAAACTTGTCGACTCAAGTCGTCCGTCATCGTTGGCCATAAACATTTTTAACAGTTTATATTTCAACGCAATAGATTAGATTCACTTGAATTATTATGTGTTTCTCTCAGAGGTTAACGTTTGTTCTTGGCAACAAATTAGAAATTTTTATTTGGACACCAGGTAGTCTTCTTTGATTTAAAAATTCAAAAATACTCTTCTCCAAAACTTAAGGGCAAGAGGCTTGAGACTTGGTTGCTCTGACGGTTACAATATGATGCTTCAAGTACATGCAGCATATTGACAAATTTAAACTATCAAACATTATGCGTCGTCTCTCTTGAAATAACAACATCCCAGACGTTCTCATCCGACAGCAACACCGAAGAAGCTATTTTTTCATATAACGCAGTAATTCTTGTTCAAAATGACTGAAAAAAGTTACATGTCAAGTTGTCAGACTAAACAAATCTCTTCCGTTTTACAGTATATATAATGATGACCATAAACATTTGACCTTTACAATTCGACCTTAAACTAAAAACTCTTATGGCCATTGCTCAGTTAATTTGTTCAAAATGTTTTATATATTTTTGACACATAAACATATCATTTCAATGATCAAGGTCAGCCACAAGGCCTGAAATAAATGTTAGCTTACCGCATAACTTGAGAAGGATTACTGTAGTACTTGTATGCCAATGAAACTTCACCGAGACCGGAAAAAGGTCAAAAGGAACCTGTGTATTACGGCAATCCCCTAGTGAAGGCCATGATTGAAGTATATTTGGTATAAATGTCACGTCAAGATTATCTTCAAAGTCATAGCCCAAACAAAAGTGTGTTTACTGCCTTACTACGATCATTTAGTGTACAAGTTGATTGTAATCTTAAACCACCTGGAGTTATCTCCCTTGCACCAAAGCACATGTTGAGTCAGACATATTAAAGTGTCTTTGATGGAGACCTGTCTTGGTCATTGATGCCTTACATAGTGTCATAAGTGAACTGAAAATGGAAAAACTATGCCCACTTCCTGGACTGAGTTTGAAGCGCAATTTGGCAGAAAACTGGAGCAGATTTCGGCAGCAATTTAGGATTTATCTGATTGCAAGCGGTACTGCGGAGAAGGATGAATGAGTGCAGGCAAATCATTGCTTCATGTGCTTGGAACTGATGTTTTGGAGATTTACAACACTTTCAGATGGACACCTGCAGGTGATAAAACAAAATTAGAGCCAATTTATGAGAAATTTGAAGCTTACTGTAACCTAAGAAGAAATGTTACCTGTATATGAGGGACATTTATTCAACACCAGAAATCAAGGTCCCAATAAATCTATAGACAACTACTGTACTCATCTCAGAAGACAAAGACGTGTGAATATGGCAATTTGAAGGACTCTAATTTAAATTGTCAGTGATCAAGTTAGGGCAAGACTGTTGCGTGATTCAGACTTAACATTAGATAAGGCGATAGACATATGAAGGGCCGCAGAAGCAAGTGTATCACAGCTGAAAGAGTTAGCAGGGGAATAAGGAAAACAAATGCATGTAATTTCGAAAAATAACAAAGGGAAAAAAACAGAACCAAAATCTTCATAAGAATGAACAAAGAAGACATCAAACAGAAAGGAAACACAAGTTCAAAGACAGGTATGAAGAGAAGGAAAGAAACTGAAATGAAAAGGACTGTCATTTTTGTGGAAGAAAACACAATTGTATTGCATATGGTGAAACATGTGGAAATTGTGAAACGAGGAATCGCTTGGCACGGGTCTGTCGTTTCGATCAACAGGATACAAGGAAGAAAAAAAGTTGGAAAATGACATGACAGATTATGAATCTCAACGATTCTGATGGAAGCAAAGAAGAAACTTTCTTCAAAGGCGCACTGACAAATGGAAAGGTACAGAAAAAGACTGGAAAATTGATGTTGAAGTTTGCGGAAACCAATTGCAAGTTTCAATGAAACTCGATACTGGAACTGAATGTAACATCACGTCTAAGGAATTTTACAAATCGTATGGAGGAAGAATGCTTACCAGATCAAGCTCATTTCATATTCTGGACACAAACTGGAACCAATGGGCAAAGCACATCTTGCTGTCGAATACAAGAAGAAGATGTTTTCTGTGAAGTTTGTCGCCGTCGACAAAGACGTAAAGCCAGTACCAGGCCTTTCTTCATGCATGGAAATGAACTTGATCAAGCCGGTGGTCAGAGTTGAAAAAGAAGAGAAAGCCCTTACTTCACAGATATTCAGTGAGTTCGAGTATACATTCAAGGGTCTTGGGAAGATCAAGGGCATCAAAACATCATGTCAACGCGGACGACTCTGTAAGACCAGTAGTTCAGCCACCACGGAGGATACAATATGCCCTTCAGGATCAAGTGAAGGCTGAAGTGAACAGATTGGAGAAAGACGGCATCATAACAACGGTAACCAACAAAGTGGGTCAACCCTATTGTCGTCGTAGAAACATCAAACAAGAACGTGAGGATCTGCCTTGATCAGTACAGCTTGAATCAAGCTATACTTCATGAACATTTCCCAATGAAGACTGTAAAGGAAGTTGCAGCTAGCCTGAAGGAAACAACGGTATTCACGAAGCTGGACACATCATCCCCCATAGACGAAATTGGATCTCCTACACAGCTACTGATGGGTCGTCGAACAACAGTTATTCTCCTGAACCAGGATTCGATCACAGCCATGTCAGGAGTCACCTGAAACAGAAACAATATGAACAGAAATATTATCATGACAGGAAATGTAAAGCGCTGAAACCACTTCAACAAGGTGATGTAGTACGACTGAGGAAGGAAGGTAAATGGATACCAGGAACTGTAGTAAAACCAAGCAAAGAACAACGTTCATACATTGCTGAAAGTAGTGGAACATTATTCAGAAGAAACCGGAGAGATCTCCTGAAAAAAATGAAACTAACCCTCTGAAATTGTGTTTTGACAACAATGAAAGAAACCTTGAATCTCTCATAACATCCAACAACACAACACAGTTCCAACAGCCAGTGAAGTCACCACTGTCATCAACTACAACGTCATCATCACAGTCATCGTTAAAGTCAAAGTCAACGTCACGGTCAGCGTCGTCGTCTACGTCCACGTCATAAGTCGTGCTACCAGCCAGATTCATAGATTGACTTTAAAGTGTTGATCAGCGATTATAGTCCAGTGTTCTAATGGACATTTGATTAGTGTTTGCAGCTACCACTTTAAACCAGAGAAGAGACTTTAATTTGAAGTAAAATAGATATAAGTGATAGGGATTTTATCATGGACTCTAAAGCTTGCATGCAGTTACATTCATAACTTTTATTTCAGGTACATTTATAAGAAAGGTTTAATGTTGAATTAACTATCTTAAGAAGGGAGGTGTCATAGAATGCTTGACTTGACTAGATTGTATGTTGTGCATGTTAAGTTGATTGGAGTTGTCTCCCTTGTACCAAAGCACATATTAGTTGAGTCAGACATATTAAAGTGTCTTTGATAGAGACTTGTCTTGGTCATTGATGTCTTACACTTGCAACTGATATTTAAGCTCAAAATCACTCTTCTGCGTCATCTGCGTAAATATGTATTGTGTTCATAGTAAAAGTGTCCATTGAAGGTAGGGTGAAGTTTGGTACATATCATCCCTAGAGTGGGGCATTAAAGATGAAAGGTTCTTTGCAACTATCTCTGAAAGTCAGGGTCTCTTGGGGTAGTTCTACTTCTTTGTGTACGGAACCAAAACCTATTGTTGTATAACATATTTTTAAGAGCTTATACCCATCTTTGCAACAACAAACAAAACTTCAACTGACTGATTGATTGGCTGAAACTGTATGCATAGACGACTTTCTCTGCTGGAGGCACGGGCTTTTGTCTCAAGGTTGTCAGTAAATTGACAATGCATAGATTTTTCTTATAAATGTAGCTACAGACATGGGACTTTCTGTCATTAAGTCGTCATGGATCGGGCGTATGTTTTTTCCAAATCTTAAGTAATGTATTTAAACCTGATATGTATATTTGATGATAGCTAGAGGCACAGGGCTTAATGATACTTCATTTGAGATCAGAGATGAATATGTATAGACATTGGTTAGGTCACCTATAACCTATTTGAAAAAGTCAAACGATTCATGACATTTTTCTGGTGAGAAGGTTTTGGGCCATTTAGGAAAAGAAGGGGTTCAGGTGCTTTCTTTCTATATAATGCAAACAACTGATAAAACTTTGACCCCAGTAGGGATGCTGGGCTAGAACAGGTCCCAAGCAACATATCCTTTGCTGGCTGAAAGGCGACCAAACAAATCAAGTAGTCAGGCTAAGTGACTTAGTTTATTGTGTATCATCCTATCACGATGATTGTGGGTTCGAATCCCGGTCCGCCCCGATTATGTTTCTAGGTTTGACGGCATCATACCCGTGCTCGAGGGTTTCACCGAAGTGGTAAACATCTGACACCTCAGTCACTTCGGGTTTTCCTCCCACATTAAGTTGACACACCGTGATATAACTGCAATAATGTGACAAACTTGTTATTCCTATAAATGCTTATAATCGTAAGTATTTTCATTTATAGTGAAGACAATAAAGTCTCATGGACATTTTTAGTTAAGCGGCGTTAAACCCAACTCACTTACTCACTCGTACCACGACGGCGGTGATCGTTGCTCACAATATCAATCACTGTTTTGTCTGGTCCAGACTTGATTATATATAGGCCGTCGTCATAAAGCTAAGTGCAACATGGAACAACAAACAACCAATTTATTTATTTTAATGCTTTAATGCTCTTCCATTTCAGATAAACTGTGTTTCTATCCCAAACTGGACATCAATGAAGACTCTGGAATCCGATGGGAAATACATCAGAGACTTAAGGGCACTTTTAAGTCATGTTTCGCCTACACAGCTAAAACGATGGCAGTATCTGGTAACATAACTGCCAAACCAAATTCAGCCGACGCCATTTACGACGCCATTGTCTTTGTGCCAGATGGACCTACAACAGTATTTACAGTTATCCGTGACAAAGTAAGAAGCAAGCGAGAAGTACTTGAGTATAACCAAACACTCGCAAAAGGTGTTGTCGCATCCGTCCGAAGATACGCAAAGGAACAGTTTAGTGTGGTTTTTGGACTGATGACAGAATCTGACCTCATGGATGATTACAAGTTTAAGGATGCTATCAATGCAATAAAGGTTGAAACGTCCAAATGGTGCGTCCCCGTGACACTAAGCATGTCAGATAAGAAGTTCAAGGAAGTCACCAGTGCATTTCTGTTATCAGTTGCTTTTACTAATTGCGTTTTCTCAGAGGATGACGTTAATTCGCTGTATTGTCTCTCGCTCGAGCAGTTTCGGGTCCTTACCGAAAATATTGACCACAACCAAGTGGTGGTGAATTCAACACCTTCTTGTGGAGGGGATATCCTCTTACTTGAGATCGCCAAAAGACTAGAGAAGTCAGGCCCAACAACAATTGTCGCAAAGTCAGAAGCATTAATAAAGACTGCACGGTACGTATTACATAATACCACGATCCTCCCCTTTTGCTTAAAGGTTTCTCATTTATCTCAACTACTAATTGAACCGAACCTTCAACACATATCCCCGTGAGCTAGGCTTCATGATAGCAGTAAACTTACACATTAAGTTTCTTTTTTCTTCTTCAGGAGGTTGTCCATTTGTAAGGATCATATTATCCCTGCTGATCATCTGGAAAGCAGAACTTTGTCTGACATTGTCAATGTGGTGGCAGACTGTGATATCTCTGACAAGGTTCAAGGCATCGGCAATCTAGGGAGGATCTGGTATTTTATTCGTGGAGGTAAGCAGATAAGGAACATATCATAATCTTTATTTAGTAATAATATTTTCTTTTGTTATATTTTGCCCATTGTAACTGAGCATGAGCAGTTCTAGATATTAAGATTGATGAACTTGCCTTGCTGTAGCGCCTCGAACACTCATTTGCTTTTGAATCGCCTGTTCATTTAATCACCTAAGTATTTAGCAAGGTAAAGTAGGGTCAAGGTTGTCAAAAAGGCCTAATCTCTTCGTGATCTGGTTAAGCATATCTTACTTTTGTTGCCTGGTCTGGTTGTCGACGGGAAGGTTAACACATACCTAGCTATCAAATTGCAGAACGGTTTTAGTTCAAAGAAAGTTGACAAGAGACATTTTGTATCGATATGCAGCATTACCTAATTTGCCATCACCAGACAGACAGCCCATTACACTTTGTTAGGTGTGCTCGAATTTATCACTAGATCTGAATGAGAAAAGTCAATCTGGTTCATCCACAAGTGAATATCCTCCCTTGCAGCCTGATGTACCATATTAGCCTTTATATGGGAGTCACCTTAAATGAGCTTGCCTATCACCTGGGCCGGGTCGTCATTCGGTCATCTAGAACGTGCACGGTCCATGAGGCCATAACTGTTGATGTATTTTGACAAATGCAGAAATCGGGTTTTCGACTACAGTGCCTAGCAACATCCAGAATGGCTGTACGTTCTGTCTTATTGTGAACGATTTAATAGAGCAGACTCACTATCAACTTTTAAGATCAATGATTGAAAGGAGTTAGCTTTGTTAAGACCATCATCCGGTAAATTCGCGTAAATATTATGTCGAGATGGTCACGGGACTTACTCATGAACCTTGAGCGGTGCATTTGGATTTTGCATTGATTTTAGATATGTTTTTTTCAGTCACACCTACAAAACATCCCTGCGAGGTGCCTGAAGTTTTTTAAAAAGAAAAACACCTCGCAGGGATGTTATTTTTTGTGCCTGGCAATTTCAAGAATTTTAAAATACAATTGAGATATAGGAATGGGTGCTGTCCGTACGTCCTTCCGCCCGTCCATCACGTTTGGTTTCCGGGGCAGAACTAAAAAAACATGAGAGATATCTTACGCAAACATGGCACATAGATAGGTCTAGTGGTGAACTGGTGTCTTTTGATGTTTTAGGTTTTTTATTAAATGTATTTTTCGACTTTCCATAACAACGGCTTTGACTTAGACTGAAAAAGGCGATGGTGCCCGTTTCTGGAGTAGATCTTGAAAACTGTACAATATTTATTGTCTTGCACACCACCAGACATGTCATATTAGCGAGGGATGAGTATTTCATGCTTGCTCCCCTACCCAAACATCCACACCCACACCCATCTCACACCCACCCCTCGAATATCAAATGGTTGTTCTAACTGCTTTGACAATTTGACAAATGAACTTCTAATTTACTCTGCACCAATTTAGACTGCCTCATTTATTAAGATCAACTTTTATTTAGAGTACAGTGTATTCTAAATGCCTATCGATGCCTATTTGCGGCTAGATTCTGATGCTTTGCATCACTTTATTCTTGTTTGTATTTTCTTCATATAACAACCGTGACATAATATATTACTTATACAGATGATGACGATGATGGTGATGATGCAAGTTGCAGTGTCGATCAAGTAGAACCTACACAGCATCATACTTCATTTGCTGGTAACTACTATTGTTATCAGAATACACCCATGACAGCCTATTGTAAAAAATCAGTGGCCGTTACTCAATCAATTTTGTTCAGAATGTACTGACATTTGGAACGTGTAGTTCGTAGCTCAAATATATATCGTGACCTTGATTTGACTAACGAAGCTTAACTTTGGCTTGAGAGTTACTCCTTATGACGACATAGTATTTTCTGCAAATCATTAAGATTGCAGCGGAATTTTATGAAACAATGGCAAACTTGTATAGCATTAGAACAGTCCTTATTCTCCTAAGAAGGTACTTATGGTTCTTGGGTGAATTTTGTGTAAAGTTAACTTAACTGTTGTGAAAACAATACTATTATACAATAGTAGTGTCATTCCAGCGGATGTAGAAACGTGAAAATATTTAAATACATCCACCTTTGGAGATATAAATTGCGAAACAATATAGCAAAGACACTAGCCCAGTCGGAATAGTTTCCATATCTGTGCTTTTAGACCTCTGCGGCTTGGAACCTTCCCCCAAAATAAAATAGAATCCTAGAAATGATGGATTTGGCTGAAATATGTCAATATGAATATGAAATATGTAAAGTGTTACCTTGTTTCTTTTTGTCGCTGTGTGTACATCTGACTGCACTTCATAACGTTATGACAAGACAGGCAGACTCGACGCGACGTCTTATAGACGAATGTTAGAGTAATATGTGATAAAGATGTTATCACGCTTGTGTGTAATATCGTGTATTTTGAAGGCTCGCTAAATACAATGTTTATTCCAAAAATATTTAGCACTACCAAACACACTCGCGTGATAACATCTATATGCTTGGCCCGTGAACCTTTTTTTTATTGTTTTACTACTCTTTACGTCTAGGTCATGATGACAATAACTGAAGGAACATACATGTAATGTTTATCATTTATACCATGACAAATTATGCTGCAGCTGCTGCTGCTGCTGCTGATGATGATGATGATGACGATTACGATGATGCCAGTTCAAGTGTCGACCGACCATGCCTTGGACCAGATAAAATTGCAGCTGCTGGTGGGTATTTTGCTATCAGCTATCTGTAAAAAAAGCAATCATTGTCTAAGGGGTGTTAAGTATTTACATTACGACCTTAAGTATTTTATGACATCGTCAATCATGTGGTAAAATAGCTACTCCGTGAAGCATCGTTGGCAGCTTAACCATGAAATACGTGTTATCGATCCAAGTTGAAACACTGTGACTATTCATAACACTATCAATAATAGCTAAACCTTCAGTTTAGGCAAAATCAGCTCTGAAGCTTACATATGAGTGAGTGAGAGATTTGCGTAGAAGCTCGTGGCGTGTCAGCCAAAGCCTGTAATGATTTCTATGAATGACAATGAGGAGAGGTATGGTGCATACAAACCAATGATTATGATGAGGACGATACCAAGATATAAAGCAGATTGGCACAATTCTGCACATCAATGTGAGTGGCGCATTGTTCTGTCAGTTCAACATTAAACATTGAGACAGTCATTACAAAGATGAATTTGAGCCAAAGAGTTCGAAGTTGGCGTCAGACTGGCAGCGTCTCAACTGAATTCATGTTTGAAGAAAATCCAAACTTCACTACCTGATTTCGTCACTCATTTTCGTCGCCTGGTACACGCAGGCATGACTTTTTGTAAGATTTCCTATTTCCCATGGTTATGAATGGTCAGAGATGAACATGTTTATAATCGAAAACGATCATAATGTCATTGTTTTTTAAATATGGCGGCCAATTTAAAGTCTTTGGAAACGCTTGAATAGAGGTGTCATTTTTGTTACAAAATTCAAATTTCAGGTTGAGTTGGCAGCATTTTAAATGAAGACCACACAGAGATCCAAATACTTGAAGCACCTACACGCAAAAGTATGTTGAATGTTATTGTTTTCGCTCACAGTTTAAGTTAACGTGTAACTTGTATCATTTTAAAGGTATTGTGATTCAGATTATAATCGTCATTGTTTTAATTTTACTTCTGAATACCATATGATATCATTATAAATTTAACACATTATCTTCTGCAGGAAAACACTTTGGGGAGGATGAGATTTGTTCAAATGATGCAGCTAAACAAACCAAACGTGGTTATAATCAAAATGCATGTTTAGCGAAACTCAACAGAGATATTTTTTCAGCTTTGATGAATAATGTAACTTCCAATCTCTCAGAAATAACAACATTACTGCACGTGTTTGTGACATGTGCAACCGATGCGTCAGTTACGCTCATCTTTTTGCGAACACCTTTACTTACGCACCTGTGGGTTAGAAACCGCTCTGAGATAACTGGTGTCAAAAATATGTCTGAGATCTAATTTCAGGCCTGTGATTGGCTACTCCATGGTGATGACCTGAGGTCAGTTTATGACGGACTACTTTCCTGATTGTCCGTTGTTCGTGCGTCAGTCTAATGTTTACCGACGTCTGTGTTGAAAGTTATGTTTTATTAGAGAGTAAACCCCCTGGTTGCCACAGTGACATATATGTCCCTCCTCTTCACCCCTCACTTAGATGTCGAATAAAATTCAAATTAAATCACACTTAAACACTTCACAGTTTTGAATTCTGTGTAATTCTCTCTTCTGTGATATCATCCGCTGTCAATTTAGACAAAGCAAAATTACTGACAGTGACCTTCACGGTGTTATTTACTGTGTGTTTAGAAATCTAAATATCGGATATTTACTCGAAGAATTGAATTTCATTTACAAATTATAATTTCTGAAAGGTCGCCGTTTACCTAGAATGGTTTAGATAGTCTTTACAAAATCACGTTTCACGTATGCCGATTATGAGATGCCTATTAGATCACTTATATTTCAAACTCAGCTGCGATACATGCGTCCCTGAATTTATCATACATTTTAGAATCAAAAGATAAATAGTCTTTGTCACCAATGAAAATGATCAAGCTGAAATCAAGCGAAATAAATTAGGTGTGGAGAGGAACACTGTACTCGGAAAACTGTACTTGTTGTAATGTAAACAAAGCGAACTTAAGATTTTACACAGTAAAGCCTTTGCTCCTATTTTGAGACACCCATTCATCTAATTGTTGCATACGATGGTTCACGCGTTTGAGAATATTCATGGGACGAGTATCGTAGCACGAATTATAGAATTACAAATATATACATTACAATGATCATGTAAATTCTACAGAAATTCTAAAGTGTCCGTTCTCTGTGACGCCCATGACTTCCGCAAAATCACGCACAACGACGACGGTAGTTATCTGCATTTAGGACCTATGCTCTTTGGTGCATTGTTAAACAAAATAACAGTACGCAGATTGTCTGTTTCATATTACTTTTAATACTATTTATGAATGATACCTCATGCACGATAATCCTCCTCTGAAAATCCCGCGTACTGTTTTCAGTGAACACGCCATTTGGTAAAAGTTGGTCATCGGTAGCGATGTCATACGGAAGTAACATTATTGTACATATTTTGTAATTTCTTTGAGGAGAAAATTATTAACGGGGCATCAACCCTCTTTGATCTTATCCAGTTTGCATTATCATCATCGCATTGATAATCCACAGATATGGCTTAAACCTTTTTGTGTCTCGTCACATTATTCAGTAAGCAATGAATAGGATGATTTGGTTGATTGGTTTGTTGTTAAAAGCCGCATTCAGAAATACTCAAGCTATATGAAGGCGGTCTGTAAGTAATCGAGTCTTGACCTGACAATCCAGTGATTAATATCGTGAGCATCGATCCACGCAATTGGGATCGATGACATGCATCAAACAAATCAGCGAGCCTGACCACCCCATCATTGTCGCCTTTTACGGCAAGCATGGGTTACTGAAGACCTATTCTACCCCGGATCTTCACGGGTCGTATATAGGAAGACGTCACTCATGACCATGGTTCTATGTACTAATGCGCCACTGCTATCGTGATAATATAGACAAAATGCATCAATTCGATGCTAAAAAGGTGCGATTTTAGGGGGTGTAAGAAACAGATTACTGCCTGTCAGATACTATTTATCTTTCGCTCGTTAGATATGTTTTGAAACAACTCATTGTAAATTAAAATGGTATCGGACAGACATTCGCGCAGTAGTCTCTATTTATCATCACTGTTTCAAAGATATTCATCAACACATGCTTACAGTAAAGTCGTACAATGGACTCTGCTTTTAGCGTTGATTTCTAATCATTACGGAAAGGGTGTTGTCGCTTTTATATATTAATGTTCCGACGTGTATGCATGTTGGCTATTGTAGCCATATTTGTTTGTTATTTAACGTCGCACTAGGCACCATTCCAGCAATATCTCCCTGTACATTTTTGTGTTGGAACCTGACAAACAATATCTGTGATCATGCAGTCCTAAATGGACAATAAGACATTGGTGATGTCAATCTCTGTAATGGCCGCGGGTGGACGTCACTGTGTTTAGCAGCTAAGAGAGGGTTATGTAAAATCGTGTCACTGCTGATAACACATGGAGCCGATGTAAATGGCTCCACGAGCGTAACGTCTCTTCATTTAGCTTGCAGGCTAGGCCATTCGGAAGTTGTAAAACTGTTGCTACAGTCCGGAGCTAACGTGAACAGACCGACTAACACACAAAAACGCCACTTATGATGGCTGCTCCCTGTGTGGAATATGTACTTGCTCCACTGCTTCACAATGCTTCACTGAATGAAAATGTTGGAGTTGTTCAGGAGCTCCTCGACCAAGGAGCAGACATTAATGCAGTTTCTCCGGATGGCGTATCTTCTATTATGGTAGCAAGCATGAAGGGGAATTGTGAAGTGGTAAAGGAATTGATACGAAGAGGTGCAAATGTTAACCAAGCTATGACTACTGGGATTACAGCTTTACACTTTGCATTAGAAGCTGAAAGTTTTGACATTGTTCGCGACCTTTTGCAAGGAGGAGTAGATATCAGCAGCTGTGACCACCTTGGGGTAATTTTACAAATTGTCATCTCAAATAGAAACAAGGTCATTCGAAATGAATTATTAAAGCATTTCAGCAGAATGAGTCTTTCAAATAAGTGGCTCATTAGTCTCATGCTTTTGTTAAGAGGAAAGGGACATGCAATGAAAATGTGGTTATGGTCTTTACTGATTACAACACTAACTGATCTCATTCCTCACCGAAGCTGCTTCTACATGTGACAATATGTTTGGAATACTTGTTCACATGAATCTACCACATCCCACATCATTTCGTCGGTAACAGTATCTTCAATACTGTCAGCATTTAAACAATAATTAAAGGAATGGAAATTACAGTGCAGGAACTGAAGGGGTGTGTTATTGCAAGACAATATTACTGCCAAGCCCTGACGCTTATCACAACTATTTTGGATTTTACGCCCTCTTGAATCTGTTTCGGCAGATTATCGAGAATGACATTCTCTGGTGTTGACGTTTTATATTTAGTGATGTAAATATCATTTCTGTTTCATCGTATATAGTGAATCTTCAAATGCAAAATATTACAGTTATTTCATATGAATGTCTTTTTGTGGTAATCTCTTCACGAACAGGATAACTTCTTGTGAACTGCTCACTGATTTTCAGTGATCCATTCATATAATAATATCAACTTCTTATACCCATTGAAATCTATTTCGGTGGATAATCTCTGGCCTAGACATTTAATATGTATTTGAACTGGCTCGATATTTTTGCGGGTGGTCTGAAGTCGCCGAGTTTGAATATGAACCTAGTGGCTTTTATCAACGAGGATGAGTCAACTCACCAAATCAATTTTTTGGCCGAGAAATTGCAAAGAAAACGTTTCGTGTTTACTTGTAAACAGCAGAATCGTTGCACTCGTAAGTAGCAGACGTAATTTAAAATGAACAAACCATATGTCTAGTTTCCATAAAACAAGTAAATGTGCTATCGTGTCAATGACAGGTCAAGACTCGTTTGCTTACAGGCGGTCGTCGCATGGCAGGAGTACTGCTGTATTCCTGCCATGCGACGGCGGCATGCAAACACACCATACAACAAGAAAGAAGCGAGATATTACATATTTCTAACTGATTTTAACTTTAAAAATTAAGATTG